TGTCGCTGAAGCACTGCCCTGCAATCAGAGCAGGGATTGAGTGTGGATGTGCCATGCAGGAGGCTTCAGCAGAGCAGCAAAGGGGAAAAAGTGGAGTACTTTTCTGTAATTTAGCAGCTTTTCTCTGCCTGTAGTGTTTGAAATGATTAAAGACACACGGGGGGCCTGTCCAGCTCCTGGCACTAGGTTTGCTGCTCAGCTGGGGAGTGCATGTTTTCACAGCTGTGTGCCATCTGCCGTGACTCGGACTGGGTGCTCTGCTCCAGACCTCAGCAGCAAAGAAAATCCTGTAATTGTGAAACGTGTTGCCAACAGTAAATAAGTGTTTTGGAAGGAATTACTTTAGAAGAAGGTTTATGAAAAAATGGTTTGGGGGATGCCAGATGTGGAAGTATGAGATGGATTAGTGCTGAGGTAGAATATTAGAGCAAGCAGGGCCTCAAATTCTTCACAGTCAATGGAAATAAATGTGATCATTACCAAGAATTAATGTATCTCACTAATCCAAAACATTCTTGCAGGTGTTTTTCATTAATTGGAAAATACTTGATAAAATAATTAAAGAAATTCTCTGGGGTTTTTCTCCATTTGGTTTAAGACTTGATATGAAAAATCTCTAAGCAAACAGAAAGTCAGGTAATTTTGAAGGCAGTAGATTTTGACATTTATCCCTATTTACAGCATTATGAGTTGGGGGTCTCTGCTAAAAATTGTTTTAAATTTTTTAAGAATAGTCATAAAAGATGGGTAGAAGAGAAGAGGTTAAAAAAAGCGTAAAAATAATTTCCACATACAATAGCATATCCTGGTTCCACTTTGTGCCTTTTTCAATTTACTTTCTTATCATCATACCTGAAAGCTGTGAAAGCTTTTTGGGCACAAAGCCATTGATGTATTCTCACTGATGAGAATACCTGATATACAGTTAGCAACTCCTTTTTTAGCAGTTCAAGAAGATTCAGTAGTTGCAGTCAACATTTTCATACTTGTGATGTAGTAAATAGAGCCAAGTGTATACTAAGAAAAGCCTTTTACTATTAACGTGCTCCCATGTACCTGAGTGGAGAGAGACCAGCAAGGGAAATTTTGGGTTATATAATGTTGCTCAAAACACAGTATACAAAGTGATGAACTGTGTGAAGTCCCCTTCCTGGAAACCTTTGGGCACATCTTTAGTTCTGCTTGCTGAAGTCAGGTAAGGTGCATGTGTTTGCAAGATTGTGCTGCAAGGATTTGGTTGGTTTTGTTTGTTCTGATCAATTATTCTTCTCCCAGCGTCATGATTTGTTATCTACCTTGCAGTGGTAGAGAGTTTCAGTCTCTCTTATAGGAAAAGTATCTGTCTGAGTTCTCTCTCAGCCACTTTCTCTCTCATTCAATTTTGAAAACCAAATTATGGGTCATGAATTCAACTTCCAGGTATTCCTGTACTGCAAGTAATCATCAGGAGCAGCTGCTTCTTAAAAAATAAAAAAATTCATCTAGTCTCTGTGTTTTTGAAAAAAAAAATAAAGATTGGAAATAAATTTTAGTGTAGCACAAAGCAGAATTGTAAGTAGGCTTCATCAGAAAGCTTTGGTGGTGATGTTTAAATTCAGTAAGAAAGAATAAAATATGTGTAGCAAAGAAAAGGATGTTGGGTATTGTGCAGGGAGGGGAGGGCTTGGCATTTAAGGACTTCCCTTCCTCTAGGGATTGAATTTTTTCTGCATGTTTCAGTTGAGGAATAACTCCATTTCTACTCTTAGTTTGTGAGCTCTTGATAATTCACATAAGATAAGGTCAGGGTCTGTTTTCCTCCTGAAGCCACTTCACATTGACACCACCTTTTGCTGCTGGCTGGTGTTGTATTTGCAAGCACAGGATGAAAGCAAGCAGGATCTACTCACAATCTTGGGAAGAGAATTAATTCCAAGGGGCCATCTATTACAATTTCAGTATTTTAGAGCTATGTGTAAGGTGCATTTGTATCATGTAAGTATTATACTGGGAAGAAGAATTCACAGTGAGTCTGCCTTTTGGAAATGCCTTTCTTGGCTGCAAACTGTGGGCTGTGTGGCTGCATAAAGCACTTGTGCTTAATTGAATCCACTGCCTGCATTCCCTGAGAGGGAAGTGAGAGCCTCTCAGGCCATGGCTAAGTAGCCTTCACAGTAATGATAGCGCTCCTGTTGCACCTCTGCTGCCTGTTTTGCTGCACAAATCAACATTTTAACTCACAAGTTCTTATTTCCAAGTGGTGAATGGGTTAAATAGTTACAGATGAGCCCTTTGGCATGGAGGGGAATGCAGCCCTTGCTGCAGGGGCCAGGCTCTGTCCCTGTAGGAAGGATGCATTCCTGTCGGTGCAAACAGCAGCCCAGGGGCTTCCTGGAGAAAATGGCACCTCCTGAAATACAGCAAATATTCCAAATTACAGATGAGATTAAATGACTGACCCTAATGGAGAATCTTTCTCAGATGATTTGCAGGCATGGGGATGTTGATCTTTTGGAATGCTGCAGGCAGTGAGTGCAGGACCATCTTGACCAGAGCACCAAGCACTCATCCATGTGCACTTAGGTGCAGCTTAGTTGTGTTGAGGAACATGAATGGTTGTATTTCATAAATGTTCTGCAAAGGAACATGAAGTCTTCCTTCTTGATGTTAAATTCAAGTAATCAGTGAGCTCAAGGCTTGCTTGGGAGAGAGCTCCTGTGTGACTTGGAAGATTTTCAAGAACTTTAAAGTGTTCCGATAGGTGCATTCAAGAAAAAAAAAAGTGGGTTTGGATCAGCTTTCAAAGTTGAAGGAACATGTTTTAGGAGTGATGAGGAAAGAAGGGAAACTTTGGATGATAGAGTAGACTAAGATTGTGAGGATGTCCAGAGGGTGACTGAGAACTGGTTTAGGATGGAGACAAAGCTGCTTTATGAAATGAATGAGGAATAAAGATAATACTGCCACAATCAGTGGCACAACAGTGAATTTCCTTCAGAGATATTTACTTATCTGAGGTCTGTCAAATGGAATGAGCAATGCCTGCTAAGTAGTAATAACAGGATTAAAAACCTTCTCAGGGTTCAGTCATAAAACAAGTAATCCTTAATCCTGTTCTTTGTCACTGATCATTTGAAATGAAAATTTTCACTGCAGAGACAAGACAATGTGAGTACTTTTACCATTAAGAACACTAACAGCCTGAAAAAGGGGTAGAGAAGCAAAAATCATACTCCTGATCTTCAAAAATTAATTAGATTGATTTATTTTAATTAAAGAAGATTAAATAAAATAGAACCATTTGACCAAGCAGGCTTTTTTGGTAACTTTTGAAAGCTGGTGTTAAATAAGAAGAGCTTGTCAGCTGTAAGAAGTTGTTTCATAGGAAGCAACAGTCATTGGAGTGGTTCACTGCTTAGTCTACCTGTAATGGAGTCTGGTAGCAATAGTTTTAGTTGACATAAATAAAAAAATACTTGGTTAAATTGTTTTGGTTTTCTAGGTTAAGCAGTTAACTATGCCTTAACTTTGTTCGTATTCATTTCTTTTACATTAGAAATAAAAGGGCATTTTTAGTGTGGAAATAGGCATTTACAGGAAGTTCTTGTTGATGTTATTTCAAAAGCTTGATACATCCAGCATCGTTGTTTTCTTTTGCTGTTGACATTGGGTGATACATCGCCTTCCCAGAAATTCTCTGTGCTGATACAAAGCTCAGTACATTTTGGATTATTCAGATTGGTTCAATTTGAAGTAAACTATTTTTGCTTCAGGTTTGAGCTCACGGCTGAGCTTTGAATCCTGACACAAAGGACTTACTTCCGTGTCACCCCTGGTTTCCAGTAATGGTTAAAATCATTGCATTGCTCATGGTATGAAAAAACCTTCAGATTCAGCTTTCTGCAGCAGAAATCATGAGGTGGCTACTGTTAAAAATCATTAGTTTGGGGACTCAGAGGGAAATCTGTTTCAGATGGTAATTTAGAAGCAAAGGGAACAGCAGTAATAGTGATAATAAAACTATGCTCTTTGGTTAGTGTTTTCCCATAAGTCATTTATTATAGAAGTATGAGAGAATGATAAATGACCAGGCTTTTTAATAGTCTTTGGTGGAAATATATTTGCTTCCTGTTACACTCCCTGAGATGCTGCATATCAGTGTACAGTGCTGAAATGGTGCACAAAAATTTCTCTGGCATTTGGCTTCTTCAATCCTGTCACAGATGCATTTTCTCAGTGTGAATTGAGCTGGTGCATAATCTTGCTGTTGCTTTGATTTTTGTGTTAAGCTATGGAAGTGTGCACGTGGCCACTGTAATTTATTGCACTTTGTCATGGAACCTGGAGCTCAGCTGCTCAAAATGAGTGATCTGGGTACCCTTTGCAACAAAGTGAGCAGGGAAAGAGGCGCAGACAAGGCAAATGAGTGGCAGTGAAGAAGGAAAAAGGAGGATGAGGAGCCCAGACTTGAAAAATAAAATTGAAAAATGGTACAATTGAGGTAAAACATTGGTGTGTCAGTCAGAAGTCATTAGCAAGCTGAGAAAAGTTAACTGCAGGCTGTTATTTGTTTTTGCTTCTCCAGTGTGTTCTCACACCATGATATAAAGCTGTAACTTACACATTTATGATGTATGTACTATGCTGTATGTCTTTGCAGAAGTGTGTCTCATTTCACAGTTAGAAAACCAGATGAAAATTTCTTTATTCATTCAGCTGTTATAAAACTTGTCTCCTGTATGATTTTGAGGAATGTAATAGTAGTTTTTAACATGAATAGAAATGCTTCAACTGGAAAGACAATTTCAAAGGAAGGATTTGCTTGCCATAAATATTAAAAGTTTGTTTAGTTTGTCCAATTTTATAATAAAATGGAAAATTAAGACAATGTTGGTGGAAACTCATGCTGAATTATTCTGTACACTGTTCTGAGCCTGAGGAAATTATGTATTCATTGCTGAACATTCATTTATATCTACCAAAATGTTGGTTTTTCTCTCCGTCTCTCTTACCTCATCCAGATTTATATATTTGAAAATAACATCTACTATCAGCCTGATGTAAAGAGCAGCTCATTGCGCCTGACATCCTCAGGAAAAGAAGGAATTATTTTTAATGGAATTGCAGACTGGTTATATGAAGGTAAGCTGGATGAATATATCTGTTTATTAAAACAGATGAAAGGTCCTTGTACAGACCCAACAGCACAAATCTGTTCATTTCAGAAAATGCTGAGGTTGGGTTTGCTCCTTTCCCTTCTCATTTTCCTACAAGATTGCCTTTATATCTGCTCAGTCTTTGTGTTGGCTGCTGGTTTGCATATAGCAGTATTTTCTGGGAAAGAAGAATTCATTTCCAAGCTGAATGTTGCACATGAACATTGGTAACATGCAGAAGTGAGCAGGGAAAGGGCTCAGTTTGATGCTTTTAGGGGCAACAGTGATGATCCATTTGCAGTTAAAACATCCCCATAGAAGAGGAAACCCAAATTTGAGTGGGGGGTAGCTCAGTCTGTCCTCTACAGCCAGTGGCACAGAATGTTTCTCTCTGCACCCAAAATGCTTTTAACATAATGATTAATTTAAGGAGAAAAAAAAATTAAAAAGGGAGGAGATTATCTAACTTGGTATAACTGCTTAAAATTAATACACATTTCAGCTATTTCTATGGGACTCATGTGTTCCATAGATAAATAGCTTGGGGTTAAATACTCAGTTACTAGAGGTATAGAATTTCTTGTGTGAAGAGTTTTTTTTTAGGAATGGTGTTAATGCCACACAGCATGGAACTTCACCTTAAAAATGGTCTATCCACACTTCTTGGCATTGCAGCAGTTATGAGCAAACAGCTCCTTGTGGGGTTTTTTTAAAATCTCTGCCCAAGTGAACTCTGAATGGTAATTTGCATCCCTCAGCCTGTATCTGATAGTTACCCACTTCCAAGGTTTTCTTTTGTTTTGAAATGTTTTAATGTGACAGCACATTTCAAAACAAAAGAACATTTTTTAAATGGAATATCATTTTATATGCACTTAATAATCCTAAAATCTACCATGACAGCATGCAAATTGAAGAATTTAAGCAGATACAGCTCATTGGAGTTGATGGAGTTTATCAAGGTTTTGCTAAAACAAAGTGAAGTTAATAGGGGTTGCAGCCAAGAGAAGCAAAAGTTGTCTAGTTTGGGGCTAGAAAGTTTTTGAGGTGTTGTGGGAGATGATGCCAAAGCCTTCCTCATGAGGCATGTCCTAAAGCCTTCTTTAAGTAAAGAAGCCTTCTTTGCTCGTTATTTTCCATGGTTTTTAACCCCAAGTGGGATGGTGCATTTCCTGACCTGCAGAGGACTTGCTGGGGTCCCAGGGCTGCAGGCAGGCAGGGAGGGACCCCTCCTCAACCCCAGACACCGTGGAAGCCACGGGAGGGGGAGTTGTGTCTGTGCATTCTGGAGAGCCCCAGTGGCTGTTGGCACAAAGGAACACACTGCTCCTTTCCCATTAACCTACAGCACTGCTCCACCTTCAACAGAGCTTTTTAACAGCATCAGAAGCTGAGCAGGCTGAATATTGTCCAGGTGAAGTTGAGAGATTTTCGGTTGAATCGAGCACTCTTCCTCTTCTGACCTCATTTGTTTTCTTTTATCATTTCATGAGTTTGTTATTAGCATTTTACCTTACAAAGCATTTGGGAATAGCTTTTCTTTGTGTGAATAACCTTGTCTAAATGCAAACAGTAATATTTTAAAGCAAACATAATTGTGATATTTTGCTATCTGATATTCACCATTTGTTCTCTGCTCTTCTCCTGTGTAAAAGGTTTTAGTTATCCAGCCAGGGAGAGAAGCATGACCCAGAATATATGACTTTGAATATAGGTCCCAGCTTCATTTCACCTAACCTTAGATAATTCAACCCATTAAGCTGCTTCAGAACCCTCAGAATCCGATTAGCAACTTGGAGAGTCTCTGTTGACAGTTTAAGTAGTTTTGTTAGGTAGGCTCTCAAATTAGGTATGCAGTCAGACCTTTTCCCTTAGTACACTATTCTCAATTAGTTTTCCAGCCAAATTCTTCAGATTTAAATACAAAATCCTTGCTAAGCAGGCCAACATATCAAATACATAATGAAAATTCTAAGTCTTTTCACAAGTGGAAGCAGAAGACTTGAGCAGGGAGAATTTGGAATTGCTCAGGAGCTGCTGTACTGGGATTCCAGGAGTTTGGGTTCTGTGCCTGTGGCTGTTTCTGGTTTGTTTCTTTTGACTGTGATATACAATGACAACAAATGTAATGACATTCTTGATGAGTGACATTCTTGAGAATTGGATTAATTTGGAAAGCAAATAAAATTTGGATAAAAAGAAAAGGTTTGGTTCAGATTTTCAAATAGTTTCACTCCAGAAAAACTGAACTTCCCAAGAATTAAAGCGGTCCACTGGACTGAGACAAGAAAATCATAATAATGCACTCCAAAAATTATTATATGAATATGACTGTGTGAAGATCTGCATGTTATCAGGTTCCACACCTCAGAGAAATCAGGTATACTGAAATTCTGTATTAAGAGGAGAAGAAAAAAAAAATTGGAAATCCCAAAAAATACGCCAAGCCCCCAAATTATTTAAAATTTGAGTAAACACATGTGTTGGAATGCAATAGAAGTAAGCATATGTCAGTAATAATCATCTCTCACATTTATGTGATTTATTGATGTTAGTGGAAGTATGCATTTGAGGAAAATGCTTAAAGCTTGGTCCTTCAGTGTTCCTTGTTATCCAGCCATTTAACCCAAGATGACGTGAAAATAATGAAATTACAGCAGACGCATTTCAAGTTGGCACAGGGAGAATAACTTGGTGCCAGCTGAACAAGCTGGACACTGTGTGTGAGGTTTTCTTATGGACCCTAAGGAAATCTGGTTTTGCAGAGGAACTTCTTCATTCCCACATTGCTCACTGGTGGTCTCCAGATGGGGAAAGATTGGCCTTCCTGACCATAAATGACTCTCTGGTGCCCAACATGGTTATTCCCCGCTTCACGGGAGCTCTGTATCCCAAGGGAAAGCAGTATCCGTATCCTAAGGTAAGATGAGTGGGAATGCAACCCCCATCTCCTCCTCTGTGTTCACTGATAATATTCAGCAGTGTGAAAAGAGTGTTTCCAGACAGGAACAGAGGCTGATTTTGTTCATGATGCTTTTCAGGAAATAATAATTACTTTTTTTTTTTTTTTCCAGTAGATTATAACACCTGAAAAGAATCTATCGGGTGAGGGGACAGCAGAGAAACTAATTTGGTGTAATTTCATCACTGATATTTGGCTGGGTAAAATCAATCCAGCACCTAGAGAGAAGGGTAATGCATTTGAGGGACTGTGTAGGGAAAAGATCCAGCCCCAGCTGTGTTGGAGTCAGGCACTCTGTGTGCAGAGCACAGGGCAAGTTCCTTCACAGGCACAGGGATCTCAGTAGGCTGTGCTGTTACTACTAAATGTGACAGACTGGCATTGAGTAAGATAAGCCACAGTAACATATTTTCATGGCCATCAAAAAGAGAAAAAAAAAGAATTAGAACTATCAGTGTTTTAGAAGATTTAGAGGAAGGTTTTTAGATTTGCTTCGGAAAGTGAAAGAACAGTCCAAACAGGGGTAATGCCTGAAATCACTCCTCATTTTCTGGAGATTTTCTGGTGAAGTGCCTCCAGACCTGTTGCTTTGATCTTCCAGCTGATCAGTTTATCCAGCCCTTGCACACAGTTTCAAAGTGGCTGGGTTCCTTTCTGGCAGGTCCACCTCTATGGTACTCCTCTGGCATTTCAGGGGAAGTTTATTGAGAGCTTTAGAAAATATTCCTTGCTATTCCTGCTTCTGTTTTCTGGTGATGAACCTCTATTCTTGATGGCTGAACAGCTAGAATGTACCAGGTACTATGAAACAATAACATACATTAAATAAATAGAATATCTTTGTACTATGAAATAATACTCTGAAACAATGAAACAGCAGTAATTTTAGGGGTAGGTTATATTCTTGCATTGGCAAAAAGCCTTGAGTGACAGAGCAAAGAAAAAAAATAAGGAATATTTTTAAGTCAGCTTTATAGACGAGAAACGAGTAATTCCATTTCATTAGCAATTCAGCATAAAAGTGATACACAATGCTACTTCAGTAATCTCATTAATGAAAAAACATTATCTTTATTTAATGTCTCCATTTAATACAAATTTAGCTACTCGTTAAACATCATTAATTGGTAATGAAGCTGGTGGTGTAGCAACAGACATTACAAAATAGATTTGGTCCTTGTTATAGAGTGCAACCATCAGAGAAAATTATAACTAGGATTAAAAAATAAAATGAAACACACATGTTTTTGTAAGCACTGGAACATGCTTATCTATATCTGTGTATATGTCATACACACAGACTCTATTCTTAAAAAAATAAGGTTTTAAAACGTTTTGGTTTTTTTTCCTAGCAGTGTTAAAAACACACAAATGCCACTTCTTTGTCTTCCATAGTACTCAAATATGAGCGGATAGAGCATTCAGACTTTATTTTGAGATAAGCCAAATTTCTGAAAGGCATTTTTGGGTGTATTTCAGCCTGTGAAGAGCCAAGTATACAACTTTGTCATTTACTATAGTAAATCTGTAGAATCAGTGATTTTTACCTTTCCTTCCAGTACTAAGCAGAGGTCAGCCCCACTGAGGAACACATTTTATTTTTTGTAACCCAAGGGGGTTATTTAGTGTAATTCCTGTGACACAAAGCTGAAACTTGGGGTTGGCATGTCTAGGACAGGGGTGTGACAGTAGCACCTCCTTGCACCCATCAGAGCCTCTCTTCCTATTTGCCTGTTTCCACTGCTTTCTCTCCATCTCAGGAACATCCCTTAGTAACGAGCTGTGTTAGGGAAGAAGGATGATTCCCACCTCCCTGTAGATCCTCAAGATTTATCAGACTCTTCCCAGTGGATATCTATCAAGCTGCCACGTTATTCTACTTTAGCCACAAGAAGCATTTTGTTTCCCTTGGAGCTGGCCTGCCAAAGCAGCTGGCTCCTGGTCCAGGCCGGAAATTGAGATTTTCAGCTCAGCAAACAAGGGAAGGAAGACTGAGGGAAAATGGTAAAGAAGAAGAGAGGAGGGAGTGGAGGAATGCTATCCCAGAGTGAGGTAGTGCAGCTTTTCAGGAGAAGGAACAATAACATCTGAAAATGGCATAGCTGGAGGCTGGATTTACCTGCAGATTTAGGAACTGACTGTGTTTTGGCAGCTGACTTCACTGAACTTGGCAAAGCCACTTCTAGTGCTGGTCACTTGCTCTGCACAGGAAAGTCTTCCATCAGTAAAGGGTGGTGAGAGAATCACTCAACACTTCATATTTTCATCTGTGTGATTCATATGGCTATGAAATGAATGCTTCAGATTTAAGATACTTGAACTTTAATAACTTTTCATTATTATAAAGATACTGAATTATATTAACAAGTGAGTCTGCTTAGGTGTCTCTGATTCAGTGCCTCTAAAAGTCCTATTTATTTTTTCTTTTCCAAAGGCAGGTCAAACAAACCCCACAGTAAAGCTGTTTGTAGTTAATCTGTATGGACCAGCACATACCCTGGAACTGATGCCACCTGACAGCTTTAAGTCAAGGTATATAATTTCATGGTGAAATGTTTTATGGTAATTGTTCCCAAAACAATCAGGATGTCAACAGTGGCCACTTATTCACAACTGTTGCAACCAATCTTAGGCTGGTGTAGCTCTCTTCTACACAAATGGAGGTACTCTAATTTATTGCAGGAATAATTTAATAGTGAATTATGCCTTGCAATTATTAGTGTCAACTGGAATGCTTTCTGATTGTGTTAGTAATAGAAATTACTTTGAATGAGTCGAGCATTTTGAAGTATTTTCTTTCTACTGATGGGCCACTGCTGAAAAACACAATAAAATCTGCTGCTGCTTGCTAACCCTTCCTTAATTTAAACAGTGCTATAAGTTCTGAAAGAGATTTCTTGCCATCAAGATCAGCATCTTCAGTCTCCTTATTGGCATTAAAGTTGAACTTAAAGTGTCAGAAGGCACAGAGAAGTTAAGCAAGAAAGTAGTGTATAAGAAAAGATCCCCAAGAAACAGATTATCTTGAAAATGTTCAGATGTTATGGTTTCACTTCAGGGTTTTCAGATTTATTCTGTCTCCTCGGCAGATGGAAAGTAATAGTAGACTCAAATTTAAATGTTAGTATCTTAAAAGTTTTTTTGTTTTTTTGAAGCTGATGCCAAATCTCTGGAGCATCTTTGCCAGTTCTTGATAAAGATATTGTTGTTGATAAAAAATTCTGGCTTGCTAGTGCATGAGAAGACTTAGTAAATCTATTTAAACCTGTGGGAAAAAAAGTTAGTTTCTTCTACATTTTAACTATTAAGGTATAATTTCCATGCTGATGGAAAATCCATGCTTAGAAATTCCATGCTTAGAAAGATTGTGTAATTGTGAGACAGTTTTACTGTAAATTGTGAATTTGACTCTGGATTTCAGTAACAGCCTTCACACTGGTCATCAACCCATATGAGTCTATATATCAATATATAGAGGTATGAAAAATGTGCTTTAAGCAGGCTTTTCTACAGTGAAAATCTTTGAAATTTGTAATGGTTGGGAGTTGTGTTTTTCCTAAAGTATCAGCTTTTTTAGTAAAAATAGTAGCTACCTTTAGCAGTCAATTTATTTCACTTCATTTCTCAGCCTTTCATTATGGAGTTATTGGTAAATAGGTCATGGGTGTTTTCAGAATTAAAATGAATGGTTCATTATCACATGTAGTTATAAGGATCTTTCAGGGCAGAATCATTTTAGAAATAGGTAATGTACAGGTCATAACCATCTGCTGTTATGGAGAGATTCACTCCTACACAGAGAAACCACAGAAATGGGAAGGGAAGGGGAAAGAGGTTCTGTTAGTTAACCTCAGAAAGTAACATTCAAATTCTCAGCCTGTCCCAAATTGTGTCTGGTGTAGGACCTTTGAAGATATTAAACTGTTTCCCTGATTTTTAGGACATCTGGGAACTTGATGTAAGATTGAATCGATTAAATGAAAAATTCAATTAATAAATCCAATGAAAAATTAATTTTCTTCTTTTAGGGATCCTGTAAAGGTGCTTGGTAATATTTCCCAAGTCCTGTTCAGGCTACTCTGATACAAAGATAGGGATAACACTTGCAAATTTTGCTCCTGAAAGTTTCATTCTGTAGAAAAATTTACCACCTCCTGTGCACTGTTAATGCCACAAAGGGACAGACAGTCTTCCTTCAGATAGCTGGTTGTATTTCATGAAATTACTGTTTCCCCCTTGGTGCTTCCATTTCACATGTACAGTTATGTTTTCTTCAGTGACAAACATCATTTAATATGAAGCTTGGGAACACAAACTGATTGCTCTCCTGCTTGTGTCACGTGGTGTCACGGTAGATCTTGTTTTACTTGTGCATACATTTTTGCCCCTCAGTAAGATTAAGCACTTGTTACAGAAAGGAAAAAAAAAAAAAAAAAAGTAAATATTAGACTCAGAACACACTTGAAGTCCCCATTTCTTTTTATCATTCTGGTATCCAGATGTGCAGCTATCTGTTTTACCAGAAGTCACATATGAAAGCCAAAGGAATCTGTGCATGCTGGGCTGTGCAGGTATGTTCTGCAAACTGCACCAGGCTGGGTGAAGCTGCAGTGAACTCCTGTCTCCTGCCTCTCCTGTGTACAGCCTTGCAGCTGCTGCTGCTGCTCAGCATCTTTCATCTAGTAAGGAGGCTTTTGAATGTATAATTAAAAGCCTGTTGTCAAAGAGTAATGAGATCTTTATCAGTAATAGATTAAGAGCCTAATTATATTTGAGCTAAGCCCCTTGTTTTAAAGGGGGTCTGAGTTTTTTCCAGACGAGCTCACTCCACTGCTGCACACAACTCAGCTGGACTGCGAGAGCTGCCAGCTGCCAGCAGGGGAGAAGGGAAGGAAATAGCTGGGCTGGGATGCCAGCCTGCAACAGGTCTGAACATCCCCAGCCTGCCAGCCCAGCAGGATCCTGGGGGGAGGGAGGAAATCCTGCACAGCACGAGCCCAGGAAGCCTCATGTGCTCAGCCAGGGTTGCTGAGGGACAGACAGTTTGGCCAATATTATGAGCTGTTTGTAAAAACAGAAACAGGAACACATTGATAGTGAGAGGCACCTCCCTTTTATCCAGAAGTCCTTTTATACAATACTTGTTATTTTATAATTTTAAAGTGGGCTCTAGTAGCTGCACTCTAATATTACAGATATTACAGAACTTTATTTTTTTTTTTTTTTCCCTTTGGCAGTAGTATTGGATTATTTTGAAAAAATGGGTGTTGTATGAAGTTATTTGTTGTAGGCTGGCTTCTGTTGGAATTCACTGCTTGCTTCTAAGCTGGCTGGAAAGTACACAGTTCATGTGCATTTGCAAGTATATGTTTCACAGTCGGTAAAGTTTGTATATATATACAAAAATTTTCCAGGGGAGGATCACACTGAAGGACTGAGGCTTCCCACTTGTAGGAACACAGATGCTGAACATTTGGGGTCACTTTCTCCATCCTTTAGTAGTGGCACTGTCATGCAGTACAAATTCAGCATTTGAATGAACTGCATATATTAGATTTTTTCTAATGTCTAATCTGAAATATCAATGATCTGAACATTGTGTTTTCAAATGTTTTGCTTAGGGAATATTATATCACCATGGTCAAATGGATAAGCAACACCAAGGCTGTGGTGAGATGGTTAAACAGAGCTCAGAATATCTCCATCCTTACAGTTTGTGAAACCACGACTGGAGCTTGTACCAGGGTAAGTTGTTTGTGTTTTCTATTTTTTTTCCCAAGGTCTCTTTTCAAGGTTTCTTCTGCATTTTGTTTTCATATTCAGGAAAAGATATTTGGAAATCAGTTTGCAGATGCAGTAGTTTCAAGCTGAATATAATTAGTCAACAGGGAGGAAATGGATGTGAGAAAATTCCGAATGTGGTGAAATGAGTTCATGCAATTAGCAACTTTGAGTGACATTTTCAGAATTACTAAGCTTTGTTCATACATTAGCTTCATTGGAAGCTGCAGTTGCTGAACATCATGTACTTGGGATATAGCTAGAGCAGTGACAAGCTTGTCCTCTGACAGATATTTTCAGCTGACTGCTTTCTCCTCTCTCCCCCTGCAGAGTTTCGTTTCAGACCTTTCTGCCTCTCACTGCTTACATACACTTAAGGAAAAGGTGTAAAATTCTTATAACTCCTTCAAATTTGATCACAGAATTAAATAACTTTAGGGAAAAAAAAATAAATTGTAAGGCAACAGGGATATTTCATTTTTGAATGTGAGCCAAACTGAAATACATTTTTCTCTTTGAATGCAGACACATTCCACCCCTGAACCCAGACTTTGACTTCTGATGCTCCTGCATTACATCTCCCCATTTTCACAGTCAATCTTGCATCTTGAATGCATTTGGCTGCTTTCCCATTCTGAGTCACAGTCTCTTCCCAGAACCAGCTAAAAGTATAAATATTTTCTATACATGCTGATATCAGTACCAACAGATGCTCCAAAGCAGAGGGTATAATTTGGCAGTGTAAATGGTTATGAGTGATTAATATTGGCCTCTGAGTCACAAGGCTCCCATCAGTGCTGACTACTGAAGTCAGTCATATTGAAGTGTTAGAGATTATTTCCATGCTTGTCTCCTTCTTTTGCTGCACGCTACAGGGTGCTTTTCCTCCCTCAGAAACTATGACTGAATCCCCAAAGTATGGATTAAGATTGTGACCATGGAGATTTGATTGCTTTCCACCGGGTTTCTGTGGGCCTTTTGTCTTTTTATTAAGAAAGTTGGTCCTGAACCACTGCAGCTGCTTCTGAGAGGGAAAACTTTATGTTCTCCAGGGTCAATTGGACTTGTTGGAAGTAGGTATCCAGGGAGCTGTAATCCAGGACATAATGTAAGAGAGAAGGACTGAGAAGTCCCACTCCAGAATACTGACAGTGCAGCAAAGGACAATTTTAGGGGGTGAGGAATGACATTAATGTACTCTCACTGTTGTGAGCACAGCCCAGGCCCTGCTCATCCTGCAGGGTTCCTACACTGCACCCTCTGGATAAGGTGATGCTCTTGAAATCATTAATGCATGAGGAAAGGCTAAATATTGTGAGAATTTAGCATTTTATCACACCATTTGATTTCATCTGTAAACCCTGTTTTTTCTCCCTAGGATGTTGCACACATCAGTTTCAAAAAGGAATGTACAGAACCAACTGCTGCAATAGCTACAGATTTTCATTTTTCAGCCCATATACATACAGATTCTTCTATAGCTAATAAATTTTCATGACTTCACTGTGACTATGACAATTTGCAGCTGTTGATGTATATTATATATTTTTTCCAACAATGTGTGCATTATATTTAGTTGTTTTGTAGGGGTGGTTTTTTTTTCAGATGGCATGATGAGAAATATGAGTATGAACAATAAAACTCAATAATTTGTTTTTATTTTTTTTCTCATCACTAATGCCATGCTACAACCCATTAAAGCACAGGATTGTGATTTGAAAAGGTCTCACAATTTGAGCTTGAAGCTGGCTGTTTGCCCAGTGTTGATGAAGGACCTAAAATATCCAGTTGTCAGATGATGCCTAGAGGTAAAAAACAAATAGAACTGCCTGTGTAAAGCTTCTTGATAGCTAATCAGAAAGGACTGAAATGGCATTCTTAGTTCCCCTGTGGTATTCTACCAAAAACTCTGAATAAAGCAGCTGACTTTGTAATTAAATTATCATTTGTTTCAAGTGCCAGCAAAGAGATGAGATTGTAACACAGTAGAAAAAATCCCCATGAAATAGCTAGAGACCTTTTGCTGAATGTGGGAAATATTTTTATCTATAGCTATTCTATAAAAACAATTTTTTTCCTTTTTTTTCTTTTAGAAATATGAAATGCAGTCAGACCTGTGGCTTCCTAAACAGGTACAGCATAAATGCTATTTCTGGGTGCATAATGCGTAATTGCTTCATTGCCATTTTTATTTAACTGTGTGTTATTTTATAAGCTAATAAAATCCTGAGACACCTGTGAGGGTTTTGGAGGCAATATTCCCTTCAGTTTCTGGTCTGTCTGGATTCAGTTCAGTAAGCATTTAGATGAACAGCTGATTAACTGCCTAAATCTGGGATGGTGGAAGACAGACCAGATGAATCCCATTCCAGGCATGTCCTACTTACTGTGATTTGTTTCTGATTTAAAAATGATCACACCAAATTCAAGCAGAAGGAGTTCAAAGATTAGAGGTCATATGGGCTATAATTGGAATGAGAAAGTAAAATATTTCTAAATTCATACCCAGAACAATATGTTTAACTAATATGTCAGCTAATTATTCCACTTTCATAGCTTCAGAAGAACTGTCCAATAACTGGATGAAACACATTCTATTTAAACTACATTTCAGGCTTCATTTTGCAATGTGCAAATGAGAAATCATTTTAACAGGAAAAAAAAAAGAAATGCTTTTATAGCCAGCCATTTTCCTTTAATATTTCTGTGCAAAGCCAGACATGGAGAGATGGTATCACATCAGGCTACAATTTGTGGTAAAACCCTGATTCAGAATATCACTTCAATGTGCTTATTTTTTCCATACAAGTCTATCAAAATCAGTGGGTGTTAAACATGTACTCTGTGAGTCCAAACCATTGAAACTTTTGTTCTCCTCCTCAGCAGTAGGAGTTATCTCTGTCGTTATTTGTATGTCTGTAAAGGAAACTGTCCCCCTGCATTGGGAATGAGATTCCCAGAGCTTTCCTGGTGAGGGAGAGTTCTGCAAGGGCTGTAAGCCGTGCCTTAGCACAGGATTGCACATGGCATGAACTACACTCAGCTTTAACCGCCACATTTTCGTTAAACGTAGCAGAATATACTTAAAACCTAAGGATGGTTTCTCCAACTGACTTCTGAGCAAAACCAAGGAGACAAAAAGCTTTAGGCTGATCTTTTGTTAAGAGGTGTAATGAAAAGTGTGCCAGACTGCCACGATGTTACATTTGCAGAACGAAGAGCCCGTTTTCTCCAAGGATGGCAGCAAGTTCTTCATGACTGTGCCAGTGAAGCAGGGCGGCCGTGGCGAGTTTCACCACATAGCCATGTTCATTGTGCAGGTAAGGCTCTGCTCAGGCTGCTTTTAATATCCTGCTGGTTATCTGGGACTTTTACTGTGGCCCAGGGAAAGGCCTGAACTTCAGTTTAATCACAGCACTTGTGTCGTGGTCATTTGTCCTGCCCAAGTTGTCTCTGTGAAGTGGGACGTATTTATAATTTTTTCCAGAATAAACACTAATACTACCCTCTCTGTGTACAATATACATGCCTATTTTTAAGGAATAAATATTTTTAAATGTTTATTCAGAATCTGCTCTTACACAGAACAGGAAAGGGAGGCAATACCCAAACTTAAAATTTGTGTGAAAGTTAGGACACTTTTATTACCCTTTGCAATAGTTTTTCAATGGCTTCCATTTCCCAGGGTCATTACTTTTTCCAAAGAAGAATCTGAAAGAAGATAAATTTGCAGTGTGACTTTGAAGGTCACCAGTATGAAGCTGTGATGAACTAATAAAGGAAATTATGCCCTGGAACAGAACACTCCAAGGCATCTATTTAAATCATCAGAGCATTAATCCAGGTGCTTTAGTGGAGCCATATGACATAGGAGGGATTACCAGGGTACCCAAAACATCAAAATAGCAGATTTGTGCCAGGCAGTTCTGTTACCTGCCTTTATTACAGTGTTCTGGTATGAACATTATTAAGTCTGAAATATGTTCACAGAGCACTGCAGACAGAACAACAACAAAAGAATTTTAACGACAGTTTAACCTGAAGAAACAAGAACAAAAATACTCCTTCACTAGAGTAAATCATCATTAACATCAGGAAAGAGTCAGTGAAGATAAAAGGGATCACAGACATGTCAAATTCTATTTCCTAAAGAAAACGGTAACTCAGATGACAATCTGGCAAAGATGTATTGATATAATAATAAAAATTCACACCTGAGCAAAACCATTTAGTCAATCAAGTCTTATTTTGGTATCTTTCACAGTATGAATAAGTACCTTTAAAATACATGAAATAATAATCAGATCTGGATCTGAAAGGTCACTTGCAACATGCCCAAGGATGTTACAAATACAATCAAGTGTCCATTAACCTTGTAGGTGCTGCCATTTCTTGCTACTAAAAAGCCCAGGAAACTTGATCCTAATTCAGGAAAATATTTAAGCAAAGATTAAGCCCACTCCTATTCAATAAGGTAATTAAATACATGCCCACTTTTAAGCACATCTTTTAATTCCAGCAGAATAATGTTTAAAGTCAAGCTTATGTTTCAGAATTTACTATTCTGTCCCTTTCAGGCAGAATTAGAGCCCTAGGTACTGTACAGCTCCAAAACTAATACTTCTATTTTGCCTGCCATCAGCATGAATAAACAAATCTGAATGTTACCACCAATGACAAATTCAGCTTTGAGCATGTAGCTGCTCCTGAGAAAGAGGAAATGTGATATCCCATGTATCAGCCATTATTCATCAGTAAGCAATATTCTGCGTGGTAATGGGGCTGATACAGAGCAGTAAAGGGCAGGAAATATGTTTATATGATGTGTTTTACACACTGCATTAATCTGATTGTCCATTATTTCTAAAGCAAACACAGAGGCATAAAAAGTATATTAGCCGTTGCACATAAAGCCCTTTGTCACATTAGATGTTTGTCACACCTTGTGAGAGCCACAGCAGCACAGCAGGTGCCCTGCAGAATTTAAAGCAGTCAGCAGATCCCCAGTACCCAGATGGTCACAGCATTTCCATGATGGAAAAGGGTAACTCCAGAGTCTGGCACTGGGATTCTCATCCCTTCTCTGGTTCCACTCAGTAGAGACATCAGCCCATTGACAGAAATCAGCTTTCGTGTGGAGGAAAGTTACACAGAACCAATGTGGACCTGCAGGGAAAAAGAAGCAAATTTTAATGGCTCTCTTTAATTTAATTAAATTCATTTCTCTCAATCTTACAACAAATGTTGGTCTTTCTCAGGCTGCATTTCTTTGCCTGCACTTCAGAAAAGCACATGTCAATGACACAAAGCATGTTAGCAGAGGCATCTAATTAAATCTTTATGCAGGGAGAAGTAACTGTCTAAAAGGCTACTGTCTATCATAGATTATTTACTGTCTGAATGTAGAGGGTTGGATGTGTGGGTTATTGTTTTCAAATGCTTTTAGTAACTTATGAAATATTTAAAAGAAACTAATCTCAAAATGGGATTGAATCATGTCTTATGTATCTAGACATTTCTTTCATGGAGTTTTGCAACTCTAGAAAGTCTCTTTTTTTCCAACCACAAAATAAGAATTATAAAGTAACTTTAATGGATCAAGGCGATAACTTTCTGCAAGCTTCATAAATTATGTATTACGGCTGTAACCTTGAAAAATAACCATGTTTATTAATGCTTGGCTGCGCTTTTTATTGCTGTTTCTTGTTAGATTCTGTGATCTTAATATTTAAATATCTGTTTCAATAGCTGCAGCTTCTCTCTCTCTCTAGAGAAGAAACAGTCACTTACACTAAATCACTAATATGTATTTTAATCATTGCTGGAGACAGCACTGAATATCAGAACCTTCCTGAACAGGGAGCCCTCAGCATAAACATATGTACAGCACCTAGCACGATATCCTGATGCCGTTTGGTACTTGCAAGGCTTGTCACTGTGTTGCTACATCATTCTTTCCTCACGGATCTGTTAGAAAACAGATCAGTTCCAAGGATCTGTCTTGTCATCTCAACAAGTCTCATGTGTCTTTGAGCATTTGCTTCTTTTTATTTATTGCTGCTGTTGATGTGGAGCCAGGGCACAGTTCAGAAATACATGGATTTAAAAAAAAGGCCAATCTTTTTGCCTTTATGACTTTTTGTAGGCCTTATAACCACTGAGTATCACCTCTGAAATGTTGCCTTTTTTCTTTATAAAGTTTGTCTTGAATTTGAAAACGAATATGTGTATCCAGGCCAAGTATAAAAACCCTAGTATAGAAAAATCCACATAAAGTACATCCAAGCTGTGAGGGCTGAACTTTTAACCTTCAGCAGGCTGAGCCATGATTTTCCCTTTTGCACTAGGAAACACCCTCAGATGAGCTTCTCACTTAGGTTTTGTTGGTTTTAACCTGTGTCTGATGAAGAGTCTGCTGCAATTTCCAGACAGAATTGGTTTTACCTGCATTTCATCCTGACTTCTACTGTTTGTTGACATGGGGGCAACTGAAAGAAAAATTGTGCTGAAAACAGATTATTTTAATGACTTTGAAAGGCTTATAGATGGGAGAGAAAGGATAAGTGAAGTTCAGGCCTGTCCAAAGGTGAGGTTTGTGGTTTAAAGATGTTATGTTGCATAATACAATATAAATAAATAAAATAATTATATATAAAATGTGTAATTAAAGGTAATTATATTGCATTAAAGTTTAAAAAGCTGTAATCAGTAATGACATGTGCAAAGAAGAATGTAGCAAGGTGAAAGTTAATGTTTTCCATCTCTCAACAGGCTAAAAGTGAACAAATCAGTGTGAGACACCTGACATCAGGGAACTGGGAAGTTATCAAAATCCTGGCATATGATGAAAATACTCAAAAGATGTAAGCACTGTTCTCTTCTTTTTTGGTAAAAATATTCAAGTTATTAAAGTTGAATCCATTTAACTCAAAATTATGCATCAAGATTTCTTTCATTTTGGAGCATTACCATAACTTTGACACACCTGAGCACGTAAGGTACAGCTGTGAGACAATTCATCTGCTGTTCTTTTCCTAAATGCTTCTTTATGCGGAGGGAAGGATTCACACCGTGATATCACTCGACTCTGTATTTTTTTGAATAAAAGGAGTCAACACACAGTGCAGCAGTAATAACATTTTGGTAATTTCTTTCCTGGAATCCAGATGAGAAGTCGTAGTAAATTTTGGTGCTTGGTTAAACATCACACCTTTACTGCATGAGGTCTCCGAGTTTTGGGGTTCTGATCCAGCTTCATAAATTCAGATTATTGGTAGATTATCAGAGCTCCTGATTCTCACCCACAGAGAAATCTTTCCACAGCCCATCTTAGTGTTAGAGTGGAAGGAAATGCAATGCGTATTTGGTGGTTTTGGGGAGTCTACAACTGACACAAAATATCTGAAGGCTTCACCTGATTTCAGTGGATCTTGATTAATTTTCACTTCTATCTGTCCACGACAAAATATGCAGAAGCATATCTAATTCTCATTTGCTTTAAAATAAATGATATTTCAACAAGAACATTTTTGAGGCTCAATAGGTCCCATCTTTTCCACTGGTACCAGAGAAAACCCTTTTTAGACAAGTCTTTCTATGGGTTTTGAAAATATATCCATAGAGAATTTTCTGGTACTTCTGCAAGGCCCAGGGGTAAAAATGAGGTCTGGATGCACTCAGGCTGCAGGGAGGTGACAGATGTCACATGGGCTGTCTCAGCCACTTGAGGGGATTGCTTTGCTCTCCTTCTGCCTGTCAAGCAGAAACTTTGTGGGGATCTCATCAGGGAAACACCAAGGCCTTGTCTCGGTGTTTTTGCAATGTCTCTTTCCACCTATGCAAAGTAGATAGGAAAAAAAGTTGGTTTGCAGCTCAAAAAGGCTCTCAGATCTCATAAGACTTATTGTAATATATGACATAATTTCATTGTGACCTCTGTCTACTACTTGGATTTATATTGCAAACTCTTGGAGAGAAGCAGAAACTTTCTCTTTGGTATTTTTAATATGCAGAAGTGTCCTGGTTGCTATTGGAGCTCCTGGGCATGACAGGAATTAGAGCCATGAAATCCTGTTTTCATCACTGTTTTAACAGGAAATTGTATAGCTTCTGAAATAACTAATCTGTATATTGGATCTAAGTTTAATCTTGGAACTTGGGTTCATATATAAGTATTTGATCTCCGTGGATATTTGTGAATTTTTAATTTTTAAAAATGTTACTTATGGTGTCTCTCTCCTCTAAACACTACCCAAATCAGACAGTTTACCAAACTGAGTTTAACTTCTTTCTTCTTTTGGATGCAGTTATTTCTTAAGCACTGAAGAGTCCCCAAGAGGAAGACAGCTGCACAGGTAAGAGGTGCATGGGGCTGTGGTATCAGCTTCTTCATCCCAAACCATATGGTGCTTGGGTAATCATTTACATCATGTAAAAATTTGTATGCTCAAGCTGCAACAAGGAAAGAACCACAGCTTCTCAAAATTAAAATTTCCAATTTCTAAAAAACGGAAAAGTTTCTAACACAAAATGTTTTCACCACTTACATCTTCACTAGTCCTTATAAACATCTAAAGAGTTAAACCTAAATACAAGCATTAAACATGACTGTGTTTTAAAAGTAATCAAAGTTTCCTAAATAAAAATATTTAGAGGGTTTAATCATGTAACTTAAAGTGTGGGGGCAAATCACCTCATCTTCAGCACTTAAATCTGAGGTTAGTGAAGTTTGCATGGTTTCCTACTCATGCTGATGTTAACCCCCAGCAGTGTGAGTTATTGCAGTGCCAGTAGTGCTTTGGGCAGCTTTTGGATCCTGCCCACACAGCCAAGTTTACTTTATTGTATTTTGTTCCAGTGTAAAATTCTGATAATTTTCTTCCCCCAGTGTATCAACAGTGGGGTCATTGAATCGTCAGTGCCTCTCATGTAACTTCTTGAAGGACCAGTGCACATACTTCAGTGCAAAGTTCAGCCCCATGAACAGGAATTTCCTCCTGCACTGTAAAGGTAAGGCAAATGCACAGGGTGCAATGCTGTCTGCTTCTGAATTAATGCATTCCCTTGAGAAAGGCGTTAGTCTGGAGTCTAACATTTAGCTCAGCAGTGGATTACTCAAAGTTCTGTACAGAGCCTGTTCTAAGACTGCAAGTAAAGGTGTTCTGTGAAATAGATAAATTATGAGTGATGTCAGAAAGCTGCTCCAATCCTGACCCCTATGTCCAAGTAAAGGGCATCAACTTCCATCCACTCTAAATAGAAATCCTTCACCAAAAAATCCAGAATTTTGGTGATGGTACTGTGGCTTGTAATAGTTTATTATTTTATATGTTGGGATTGATTTTGTGTGACTATACCTAGTTAAAAAATGAGGTCCTGTGTTCTCTAGCAATGTCTGTACACCCCCATAATTATATGTATGGGTATACCTACCAAAAAACAGCTGTGTTTTAATCCCCAGAGACAGATCCTCTATATCAGTGCAATTGTAATAAATAACTCAGTGTTTTACTGTTAGCTGCATTTCAGTAGCATTAAATGACACCAGTTGGCTTCAGAATTTCTGTATAAACAAAAAATTAAAACCATCTCACACAGAGAAATTTATAACCTACACACAGGAAATAAACACTGATACATAAGTGATAAAAACAGGGTTCAGAAAAGCAAGAGACAATGCATAATAAATTACATAGTTGTACATAATAAAGTGCCTGTTGTCCTTGAAACTTGCAAACTTTTACAGACACCATTCCCCCAGTATGTTTTCATAGCTAGGACCAGAGTACAAAGAGTAGAGGACAAGTCATCTGAAATACATATGAATAGCTCATTTTATATTCATGTTGTTTCTCTGTTTCTTTCACAACTCTACTTTTTTTTTTCCCCCCGCACAAAAATAAAATACCTTCTGACTTGAGCATTGAATGTATCCAAACAAAGAAACTATGAATAGATATTGGCTAAAATAAGGGGTTTGGCTTTGGTTTTGTTGTTTTGGGTTATTTTTTTTGTGGAAATGCACCTGCAGTACACAGCTGATTAGAAGAAGAATGTTCAAACTGTATAGTTTATACATGGTTAAATCTGCAGCAGAAGTCATGGGGCAAATCTTGAGGTCCTTCTCTGAGTAATGAGCTCCTCATGCTTTAGGCAGAGTTTTCCCTTGTGCTTGATGTAATCCCTATGGGGTAATTCTTGCAGAAGAGAGGGCTGATAAATTGGGAAGAGTTTTTTGTCCTGAATCAGCAATGTGCCGGGGTCCAAAAGCATCTTGTTGCTATTTTAGCAAAGTATATTCAGCCTGTAATTTTTAATGTGCATCTTTGATATAAAAATGTGGATGCCAGTAGGGGGTTGTGCATGTGATTACTCACAGGCTCACGACTTTCAGTGACTTTGGCAGTTCTCTGTTGGAGCTGGAAAAGCTGCAGATCATCCTCCCTAAATTAAACCTACACTTCGAGTTGCAGTAGCCTGCCCTGAGCTGTAGATGTTGGGATGCTAAACCACTGTCATTAACTTTTTCTGCCTCTAGCATTAATGTAGGGTTAGTGCTGGCTGGGAGTTACTCAGGATCTTCTCCTGTGTTTCCTCAGAGCTTGGCAGGTGCAGCAGCAGCGTGGCCCCCGTGTAGTGCCAGTGCCAGGGCTGGGCATTTGGCAGTGTCAAAGTTGATGGCAAGGTCACCTAAAAAGCTAAAACTCTTCTGCTTGTGAGAGGATGAGGTAAACTGCTTCGAGGAGACAAATGACACATCTACTGAGTGGATACACACTTGTTTTCCTGCAGCAAAAAGCCTTCACCACATTGTTACAAAAGCAATTTGCCCAGAAAAACACTTGGGGGACTCTGAACCGGTTGGATCGGTATAAGTTTCAATCCTTCAACCTCCTGTTTACCCACAAGCACCTTTATTAGGATAGTTCTTCCTTTTTAGTTTCCCTCAGCCAGGAGATCTGTCTCATTTTACCAGCTGTATCCATCTCCAGAGACTCTCCTGAGTGAGGAGTTATTTCTTGCCTGGTAGACGGAGAACTGGCTCCTCAGCATCTCAGTTTTGGCAAGCATATCTTTGCACTCATTTCCCACACTGCTTGTGGATTTTTTCCTTTAGCACTTCACAAACACTGGCAAGATATTTTTCTCCCCACTCCAAAAACATAGTTTAGAGAGGTAGTAATTGTTTCTCTCCTTTTATACAGCAGGAAATAAGCTGTGGATTTGGGGTTAGTGATAGGAGGTCAATGGGAAATCCAAGTGCTGTGCTTTGTTCTGATGCACTGTAACACAATGCTTGTGATACAAATTTGCCCTCTTTTCCCCTCTGATCAGCATTTTAATCTACTGCAATCTCCTTTTTTTTCAAAATGTCATCATCCTTCCATCTTTTAGTACGACAAATAGAGATAGGCTGGAAAATGCTGGTGCTTTCCCCTTCAGAAACAGTCTTAAATAGGAATTGAAAGCAAAGTGACAAATTCAGAAGACATAAAAAGAGCTGGAAATAAAAACAAACCAAAGCAAAAGACACATCTGAAGAAATTATCTTCTTAGAGAGCTAAGGCAGAAGGCTGTGATTTGTCAACAATCTACCTGTAAGCTTTTTTGTCAATTGTCCCCCTTGAGGGAGAGAGTGAAACTGATAAAAATCTTCAGTGAAGGCTGTGAATGTCATCATGCTATTTATTTCAGGTATTTATATTTCCCTAGGCTCATGCCATAATTAATTGAGAGCGACAGCCTCTCAAAACACATAAATTAAGCTCTGTCTCTGAACTCTCAAGGGGAATTGTTTTTTTCTCAAAAAGAGAGTTGTAGCTCCTAATTTCAAAGGGTCCATGCCTTCATCTGCCATGGGGTCCTCAGGGACTTCAGCTTTTCTGCATTGTTCTTCCTTGCCCAGTGATGACTGAATGCTTGTAACTTAAACACTGAGGTAAAAAAGAGCTTCTCATGTGTAAGTTCCATGTTGGGGGTGCGGACACAAGATTTTCTTCTGCAGGTTTAGACTGGTGGGAACCTTCAGAGCAGGGACAGCAGACTCAGCCACTTCTGGGTGTGCTGAATGCTTGGTCATGCCAGTTTCACATGCCACCTTGTGCATTTGCACAGTAGCTGTTGAATTATTCCTGATTTTCAGTTTCTTAGTGGTACGATGAAAATAACGTGAAATAGGATTAGACTATATCACACCTAGATTTAGCTGTGATGTTGTTGGTTTTGCGGAGTTGCCATATCAACGGAGTTTCTTAAACAGATGATTATGTGAAATATATTTTTTCAACACCTCTATAGCTTTTCCACAGAGAAAATAAGTGGATGTTATCATTAATTAATTTCCCAGTCAAGGGAAGCCTGAAGTTTCAGAATGTCAGACTGCTATATTTTAAACAGTACTGTTAAGTGCGTCCATAATTTTTTATTCTTCACTTAAAACTAAAACATGGAGATTATTAAAAAAAAAATAATTCTCCTTCTGGGTGCAGGGTCTGGGCTGCTGAACAGGCAGAAGGCAGTGTCTGTTCCACACCTGGTTGGTCCTGTAGCCCAGCCTGTGTCATTTCCAAGAGGTACCAGTGGAGTTCCTGCTGTGTTTGAAGGGAATTGTGTGTATGGAGCTTGCAGGATTCTGTCTTACCAGTGTGGCAACTGGTGCTCCCATTCTTTGTCACTGAACTACAGAGTACAAACTACCTCACCCTTCCTCTGTTCTTCTCTCCTCAAAACAGGACCAGGTGTTCCAGTTGTAAGTGTGCACAGGACAAGTAATACTTCAAGTGAGTATACCTCATGAAATGAGTCAGTTTTCTTATTGTCCCTAATTTCTTTGGGGAGTGTGGGAGAGGAAAAAGTAAGCACATGAAAATGTCATGCTAGTGCATGAAAACTAATTCATGTAAAGTGCTAGTAATTACTTTTTAGCAACATCCACATCAGCAAATGGTAAGGAAAGCCATTAATCAAATAACTAAAACTTTTCCAGATTTTCAGATATCTGTTGGATTAAATGCACATGAATAATCTTCTGTTTACACTTGAGTAAATTAGATGGCAGGTTGCTCTTCATCCTTTTCCCTTCCTGTGTAGATCATGCTGCCATTGCAGTACACCTCCTGAATTTTCTGAGATGTTTTTAAAGTTACAATCCAATTATGTTGGAGTCAGGTACAGTCCTCAGATGATTGATCATAAAAGCTGACCTACATATGGTGATTTAGTCCTTCTATTTCTGAAATCAGAACAACTCCACTGACATCTTCAATGAAGACAATCCAGTAATAAAGGCTTTTAGGGAGGGTATTCTATACCTCTGTTTGTCAAGCTTTACTCATTATTTTCTAGTGTATTGATGCAAAATCTGTTATTGTTTCCTGGCTGCTGAGGGACTTTTTTAGTGGAAAACTGTCCTTCAGCACTTGAATTTTCCTGGTGCTGCAGCAGAGGTAACAACTCCACCACCTCCAGCTCCACTGTGACTCCACTGGTATGGAGATGTGGATTGCAGGAATGGGGGACAACTTGTCATTCAAAAGCACTAAAACAACTCTTATATATCCTCATTTCATTAATTGGATTATCCCCAGGATTTTTTCCTGAATCCAGAAATGCTGAACTGTACCTGTCTGCATCCCCTTTGTCCTGGGCCAGTCACTGTTCAGTGGAGCTAATCTTATATATTGAAGTACCATCCTGATAAATAGTCCCATGCTAAGAAGTCTTAATTAATATCTGCACTTTAGTTTTGTTGTTTATTTTTTTTTAAATGCCATTTTTTGTGTTTGCAAAGCCCAGTGCCACAGCACACCCAGGGCAGGGAGTTTTATCCAGCTCAGTAAAGGGTAGCTATTGCTCAAATAAATGTGTTTTAGACTTCTGTGGAGCTTCTCAATTCCATGAAGGCAAGCTTTTGCTCTTTATTACCTGCATCTAAAGTACTATGGAGTGTGAATTACTGAAATAGAGATTTATGTGCAGCACCTTGGAGTAAAATAAAACAAGTCAGGATAGAGGAACGTTGTTTGTTGTAGCAACAAAAAGCCAAATAATAGGAGAGATAATTTACCATTTGTGTTTCAGTACAAGATTAGATTATCCACTTCAATTCATAAAAGAATGATTAAGGATTATTTCAATTATTCCATCCTCAGACTATAATTATACTATTTTGGTTGGCTGCCCGGAACAAGCATTCTCCTCAGATTATCTGTTTTGGCCCTAAGTGAAGAGTTTATTATTTAATTAAAAAAAACTAAATTTTGGAAGCAAGATTGGTAATTTGAGTTAAAAAAAAAAAGCCAAAACCAAAACCAACAAATTAGTCATTCTTTCCTGGGTAAAAGGGTTGCTTCAAATTAGTCTGCAGCTTTAAACCAAGCTGATGGTCTTGCTCTTGGCTGAAGTGCAGAAGATAAATGAGGACATTAATTGTGCTGGCTAAATATTGCCCTGGAATAGGTAATGTTGGGGAAAAGGATGTCTGCATGAGATGTAGGATCTTGCCCAGCAGAGCAGCCTTGTGCTGCAACAGCTGCTGTTAGGATTTGTCAGATATGCTGATGTTCATGATGGTCATCAGAAATTTCTTTGGTAGTGCTTAATGAGAACAAAGACTGCCAGAAAAATGAACTGGATGTGTATCTTTTTGAATTGAAAAGTAGTTGCATTATAAAAAAAGTATTTACAGAAGGAATTAATTTGTGAGATTAATTGCAAGCTTTAATTTGTGAGATCATTGCACGTTTGTCTCTTTTTCTCTTTTTTTGAATCTTGATTTATCTCTGGTGTGATGATTCTCCATGCCTTTCAACATGGTTTTTCTTCTTGCTTTTTAGAGTTTTATATTTTGGAAAATAACCCTGTGTTGAAAGAAGTTGTTTTTAAGAAAAAGAGTTACAAGACAGAAATCAAAATGCTTCACATTGAGGACTACGGTAAATCTGGCAAAATTTTATTTTAGCAAGCCAAAAGCTTTCTTACAATGTTACTGTTTTTCATCTGTGTAACTACCAGCCTTTAATGTTTTGCTCTTTTCTTAAAAGAATTCCCATTACAGTTGTCACTGCCAAAAGATTTCACGGATCGAAACCAGTATGCCCTTCTATTAATAATGTAAGTATCTGTTTGGAATCACTCAAAATAATAAAGAATTACTTCATAGAAAATATTTAAATCTGAAATTAGATTTTTGTTTGTTTGTTTGTTCCTTTTGTAGGAAAAAAATATCTCATGGATTTGGGTTGAGAAATCAAAAGGCTTGTTCTTGGGAAGATTTTGTAACAGGTGCTGTCTGGTAGAGATGCCTGGGGTTTTTTTGAGCTAGTCAGACCTGACTGTGCTTTGCTGTACTTTCATGTTTGGGAGGCACTGATGTTTCTGATGGTGTAGCTTCAAGTAGCCCTGCGGTGTTTCCTGGACCCTGACTGATCCTGCCCACAGGATCTCACTCAGAGCATGTGCTCCTTTTTATCCCTGAGAGGAATGAGTAGAGCTTCCAGAGCTTCTCAGTTGAGATGCATGAAGCAAAACTCCTTTTAGGAACATCAGAATGAAATAAAAGTTACTTTTGATCATCGGTGGTTGAAGGCATGATGATAGGCGTGATCCAAAGTCTGTTGATTTTTGTAGAAAAGCTGCATGGGAGGAAGATGGTATTCCCTGGAAACCTGTGCTGTTCTTTTAAAAGGAGATGGGGTGCGTGTTTCTTGCAGGGAGAGTCAGCCTTTAAGTTGTGTGTCTGCACATGTGTAGCAGAGGAAAAGAACAGAGTCATGAGTGTGCTTGAAGCCTCCATGGGAAAAGTGGTGATGGCCAGCTCAGGGCACCACTCCTTTCTCCACCCAAACTCAGCACGGGTGGAGAGAGCTTTCCTGGACCTACGGAGCTTCTTCCAGTCCCAGCTGGAAAGAACTGATGGGAATTTCAGTAACAGACATGTAGGAGTGGGCTGCTAAAATCATGAGAATGCCACGTTACTGAGCTGTGTCACCTGGAGCAGATATCTCCTCAGTGACAGCACAGATCCTTGTTCTTGGATGTGAGGTGTTTATAGACCTGAGAATGATCCCAAATTCTTCTGCTCATATCAGAAAACAGGACAGAAAGGCACAAGCCTGCTTATTTCTAAGCCCAGTTTGTGTTTTAAAACTCAGAATTTTCAGTTATAATTATCTGCAGTTGTGGAAGCTCTGTGCTTTAATAGGCTCACAAACATATTTTTCTTTTCTTCTGGAAAACATGACACATGGATTTTATTTCATCTTTGCAGCATTTCCTGGCATGATCTTGGAGGCATGATCATATTTTAAGCAGCTCTTATACGAGTGCCAAAGGCAAACTGTCTCCGTGAATTGACCCCAGCAGCGCTGCAGGGACTTGCAAACACTTGTGCTTATTCCTGTTTCTGAGAGCAAGGAAACACAAAGGTGTTCACAGTGCAGCACTCCCTTTTCAAGTATCCTAGTAAATACATAATCTGCCATATACAGCTGTGGGAAAAGATGGGGTTAGAAACTCATGTAGAACTGAGAGAAGACAGATGGGAAAGATCAGAAACCTGAGAAGTCCAAGGCCAGAAATCATAGCATAAAGGAAAAGAGAAAAAAAAGCTAAAGAAAATACTATTTTGGTTTGATTTTCGATATCAAGAGTTGAAAGAAATGAGAAGAGGCAGGGTCTGAATTTAAACTTACCAAAGTTATCCAGTAAGCGAATAGTGTGGCCAAATCACACTATTTGTGATTTATGGATATGTTTTATAATTGTTTTGGGGTTTTTTATGGTAGGCATGTGGGATAAAAAGGAAAGTCATCAAACTACAAAAACATATTGTTGTATCTACATTTACAGTATAAAGACTTTGGTTCTTTTAGCTCAGATTTTTATCTTTGCAATACTGAATTCTCAATGCTAGCTTTAGCACAGGGGATATTTTTAGAAAACCCTATACACTAGTGAAAATATGAAACTGAAAATTTTAAATCTGTCTTGGCTCATGTACTGTATCTTGTTTTGTGTCCTCCTCTTCCCTAGAAGAAAAAGAAGTTACATTAAGCTGTATTTCTTCAGCAGCTTTTTACAGACTTAAAGCTAAGGTTGCCAGCAATCCCTTTTTCTATTAAAGAGGTCCCCAAATGAAATATAAAACTACAAACTGTCACTGAAGTTACGGGAGGTTCCCTTGTGGGATGATTATTTGAGCTTAATAAATTCTGCCTAGCTCTTGAGAAGGAACAGTTGGATATCTGTGGGCGTATAGGGGGTAATTTCTTGACCCACAAAGCTCCAAATTGACATCCTAAGGTTTATTTCATGACCAGAAGTACTACTTTAAAAAAAAAGAGAAAAGTATTCAGGTCCAAGGAGAACATGTAGCTTTTATAGGGAACATTGATTAGTTGTGTAGATGATATAATTTCCCAGATACTTGACTTTTCTGAGCCCTGAGTGGTACTGTTGGGACTGATGGAGAAACACCCTGTTCCTACTGCCAGCAGCGTTAGATGAGAATTGGGGGCTGATAACAAGTGCTGTCTTTTGTACTGTTCAGCTGCCCCTGCTTGCTTTCTTCCATTCTCAGCTGTGATATGATTATCATTATATTCCAGCTATTGAGAGAAAAACCTTTGAACATGAATGCTTACCTATGTCCTTGGTAAGAATGTTGGTTTAATTACATGTCCATTTTTTTGGGAAGGAGATCCTATAAAACAACTTGATCCAGGCAACATGTACTTGGATATATAAAACCAGAGGATATAAAAACAGAAAAGTGGAGTATTAGCACAGAAGTGGGGTTTGCTTTCCATCTCAGTAGTGATTCAAAGTGCACTTTGAAGAGGGAAAAGGGGAGGGAGGGAGGGAAGGAGGGAAGGAAGGAAGGAAGGAAGGAAGGAAGGAAGGAAGGAAGGAAGGAAGGAACAATGT